GGTAAGCATGACTGTAGATTTTCAGCCCATTCCAAGCGGTACTTTTCGAAAAATAACGAATTCGGATTTTTTCGTTTCAGTTTTAGTGCTAAAATCGACATTTCTCGAAAAGTACCGCTCGAAATAGGCTGAAAAACTACAGTTGTGCTTACCTAGGCTTGTACTATAGAACTACATATGTAAAAACGGCTCAGCATTGCTTTGAGAAAATCAGGGAAATTTTCGTTTTCTCAGTTTCTAGTCAAGCAAAAAATACGGCAATCGCACATATGGATATCAGGTATCGATAGCATTGATGTGAGCGAGTGGGAGGTCCGTAGAAATTATTTGGACGAAGATCTGATTTTTTTCGATTTTTTGGGCATTTGGAAATTTTTAGATTTTGAGTTCGAACTTTCCGTGGATCGAGCATGGCGCAAAGGCATGAGTGCCATGTTGTAGAGCTTGCTTTGCTCTATCGAACAATACCCCTTACCCTTTGTTGGGTTGAGTCTGCTTGCTTTGTTAAAGCAAGAAAATAGAAACGCTCATTATTTTTGCACCAACCTAATATATATAAAGTTCGTAGTCTATCTCAACGAATCTGCCTTAGTTTAATGAGAATAGGACGAGGAAATTTTTTTTCTAAAATCGAAAAGCACAGACACGCCGAAGGACTTGGCGACCAAAAAACCATATGCAGTGCTTCATATTGCCTGAGAACATCGTGCGGCATAAGTCTCGTTTTCCGGCATAGAGTGGGACGGCTGAGCGGCTCGCTTGAAAATTAGAAAAAAGTGGGTTTTTTTACTCGTGAAAATTTATTTATTTATTTAGTAATGCGCTCGTAGGCGCGCCAAAACAAAGAAGCAACTAAATCAAGACACTGAAGATATCAACGGTTTCCGCTACAGAAATCAAAAAGGCTTCTTCTAGGGGTGGTCAGGTCGCTCTCCTTGTAGAAGGTGAGAGCCTTTCACCGAAATCCTGTTCCCAAAGGTCCTGGACGCAATAACTGCAATAACAAACCAGGGCTCGGATGACCGACTTAACCCAAGACGAACGCATTCGTCAGGGACCCTGGGCGAGCGGACTAGGGGGGATCTCAAGGCAAAAGGATCGCCAAACTTCAGTCTCCTCGAACGGCTATCCCCGCTGAAGAAGCTGCGAAGCAAACAGAACGTTAGCGGAAAGCGAATTAAGGCGGAGTGAGCCAAAAATCGAGTCTGAAAAAGAAAACAAAAACAAAAAAACAGCCAAACACATATGGCCGATACGGCCCATCAAAAAAACCTGAAAAACAGGTTAGCCAAAAACCTTTGTGTGATATGCAACATTGGTAAGGCCTCTGTGGAAGTGGTAGTGCTGAAATAATTTTATCTAAACATCAGCAATTCCCAGAGTTTCTAAAAGATTGATTTGAGCTAGCTTTTTACGAAAAATTCTTGAGTTGATGCTAGAGGTGACTTCACTTGGAAGAAGATTCAGCCACCTGGATGTTCGGAAAATAAAGGAATTGAAAATTCTAGAAAATATTTTGCTTTTCAATTTACGGTAAGAGATGTGAAGACCTCCTGTTCTGCTTCCACAGGGCCTGAAAATCCAAAACTTACTAGGTTTCAATCTTGTCTCTAGTCTGAATAGGCGAAAACTGAAGACAAGATCATTGAAAATTCGCCTATATTTCAAACTGTGCAGATTCAATGCCAAAAGTCTGGATCTGTAAGATGGCAAGGATTGGGGGTAATTCGGATCAGGAAAACATCTGTAAAAGACGATTCTGGTGAATGTTTTTTGGACCCTTTCGAGAGAATTTATGTCTTTTTTCAAAAACGGATTCCACGCGGGCGAAGCGTACTCCAAGTGCGGCAAAACATAGGTTTTATATAGTTTGACTAAAATCAAGGGATCATTGCAATGAATACTGCGCAAGATGACGAAGAGACTTGCAAAAGCTTTTTTGACAATCGATTCATAGTGATGGGAAAATCTCAATTGATCGTCTATAAGAACTCCAAGATCCTGGGTGGTAGTGCAACATTCAAGAGTGACACCATCACACGAGTAAGATGGAGGATGAGAAGTACCAAAATGCATAACTTTAGTTTTAAGAGCATTTAGGGGAAGATCCCATTCTTTGGACCAACAAACCATCTTTTGAATGGCCGAAGAAACCGCTTCAAATGCTTCCTTTTGCTGATGGTTTTGGTAACAATAATACAATTTGATGTCATCCGCGAACATCTGAATCTTGATTTTGGGATGATTCTTGAGGTATGAGGGCAATTCTGCGGTATAGGCTAGGAAAAGGAGTGGCGACAGTATGCCGCCTTGAGGAACTCCACTCTTGCAACAGTATCTCTTCGAAAAGCTGTTTCCGACGCGGACTATCATACCCCTGTCCTGCAAGTAAGAAGATAGCCAAGACAGCAGTTGACCCCGAATACCGTAATGTTCTAGCTTAAGGAGTAGCTTGCGATGATTAACCCTATCAAATGCCTTGGAGAGGTCAAAAAATATGACATCAACTGATTCGCCATTGTTTACTGCAACAAGCCAGTCATGAACGGAGTCACAAAGTGACGCTGTTGTGGAACCCCCTGCCAGAAACCCGTGCTGCTCAACTGGAAAAACTTTGTTTTTTTCAAACCAGTCACAAAGCTTGTCATTGATAAGCTTCTCGAGAATCTTGCCAGAGGGGGCTGTTATGCTAATTGGACGGAAATTAGAAATGTCGGTGATTCGGTTACGCTTAGGGATGGCGGTGACTAGGGCCTCCTTCCAGACCCTAGGCACTCTGCCCTGTTGCAAGGAGGCATTGAAGATCAAGGAGAGAGGGAAACAGAGTGCACTAGCGCACTTACGGTAGAGTATTTGGGGAATACCATCATAAGATGAGCTTTTCCTCGGCTTTATCTTTGTTAGAATTGCATAAACTTTTCCTGAGTCTATAGTCAAATCTGAGCAAGCAACTGATGGACAACTAGAAGAAAAATTGATAGTTGGAAGATCAGAGGCTGCAGTTTCATTTGCAAAAAAACCGGCGAAATAGCTTCCAAGAGCTTCAGCCTTCTCTTTTTCACTTATAAGCAGATTACCATGCTCATCCAACAAGCTATTAATTTTTTGTTGGCCTTTAGTTTGGAACTTGAGATATCGATAGAGCTCTTTGACATTGTATCTGGAAACTCGCCTTTCTCTGTTGGCTAGGTACTTCTTCACATGATAATTGATGTCTCTACAGACCTTTCTGTACAAATGATTGCTCAAAGGATACAGTAAATGAGAAGAAAGCTTGTTCTTTTGTTCTAATAGGTTTTGAATATGAGCGGGGTATTTCTTTATCGGAGTTTGATCAAAGCGGAACGGCACATACTTAGCTAGAATGGAGTAAACAACGTCACAGAAACGATAGTAGAGATCATCAACGGTATCACCAATTAAGATGCGAGACCAGTCAGTATACAGAAGAGCTCTATTGATATCAGAGAAAGCGGCCTTGTTGAAATCCGGATAGGGAACAAAACAGTTTTTTTGAAGGTCAAATGCAGTTTCAAAATATATGATGTTATGATCGGATGTTCCAAAAGGAGCTATGGATTTTAAGTTTCGGATTTGGCTGTTGGAGGAAAAAATCAGATCGAGAGCAGCCTTCCCTCTTGTGGGGAAGCCAACGTGTTGATGGAGACCACAATCGAGAAGAAAAGAGTAAAGTTGAGATTGGCAACGGATGGACGGAGACAGGATATCAATATTAAAGTCGCCTAGTACGATTGTGCTAAAAGGTAGTGAACATAAATCATATATCGAGTCAGCCAATTTGATATCGTCATCAGAACTAGAAGAAGGCGGACGGTAGACGACAAGTAATCTCAGAGGTGTTGAGGAGGTGGCCGACCAAATGTCAACACAAAGAATATCGGATTTAAGCTCATTAGCAAAAGTGATTTTCTCCACCGCATACTCCTCCTTGACAAAAATGCAGACACCTCCACCTTTGCTGCGCGTCCTGTCTATACGGTAGAAAGAATAAGGCATATCCGATATGATTTCAGAATCCGTGATGTTAAGATTAAACCAAGTTTCAGTAACACATAAAAGGTCCGGAAAATAATAGGCTAAAAATGCGTGTAACAAATATATCTTATTAACTAGACTACGGGCGTTAAAGAGGAAACATCGAAGAACCCGAGCTGATAGACCGTGCCGGCTTAGGCGTTTTCCGGAAGATGTCGGTGAGGGAGTTCGGAGGTATGCCGCAGCTCACTCTTATAAACAACCCACTCTCTAACGGGTTTGCCCTTATTTCTTTCTCGTGCCTGCTTTCTAAGCTCAAACTCTTGAGCTCGTTCTGACGGGGTCATACTTTTGCGTATGAAAATATTAGGGAACCCCGACCGTCTCAGAACGTGGGCGTTCGAAAGGGCTTGGACCCAGTGAGTGCGGGATGGGAAGACGACTTTGACGAGACGTGGTCTCGTTCCCTCATATTTACCCATCCGATAAATCTCGGTGGGCCAGCAGTCCACACTTAAAACGTCAAGGATGTCGGCCACGCCTTTTTCAAGCTCATCCCTCCTTTCCAGCAGGGGTTTACCGGCTTCGGATTCTTGTAACCCTGCGATAACGATGCTCCTTCGGCGCTTTTCGGTTTCCACATCTGGTGGAATTTTGCTTTTCAAAGCGAGAAGCATTTTCTCAATAAGAGGGTTGGTGTTCAATTTCAAAATGGAAGACACGATCTCATTGGCGGACATGTTAGCGAAATCATCCTCCTTTTTTTCGTTTCTATCCTCCAGAACTGCCGGTTGAGAAAGACTACTACTAACAGCATTTTTCCTAGTGATACGTGAGGCAGAGGGTTGAGTACTTGATCTACTCCCGCGAGCCGGCATGTTGAACTATCGATTGAAGGATGAGAAAAGGAAAAGACAAGGAGGAAGGAGGAGCGGTCAAGATATGAAATGATAAATGAAACGGGGGGATGAAATTGTGTTTGAGGAAATAAAGCTTCAAACCCGATGGAAGCAAAAGAATTGGTAAAAAAGGACAAGAAGGTAGAAAAAAGGAGGTGAGTGAGAGAGTGATGAGAACACGACCGCTCAGGACCGCGTATCTAGGATTCTAGGAAAATGGGGTACTTCCTTGTGACTTATAGAAGGACTCTTCTGCTTTTGAAAGGATCTCGAAGATTTAATAAACACTGATTGCAGAAATAAAAAAGGGAACTACTCAAGCTTTGATCGGTTTGAATTGGGTCGCTCAAATGGAACGTTGCATAAACATTCAAGGTCGTCATCATATCAGTTCCTAATTTTTTCTTCTTCCTTTTTTATCTCTGTCATCAGTGCTTAGTAAAAGTTCACTACAGGTTATTACCAAGCGAAAGACATTTTCTCAAAAAATTACATAGAAGTAGCGAAAGCTTACAAATTTACGACAAAAAAAAACGGCACTTCCGGACCGACCTAATACTTTAGCAGCTGTTCGATACATATCAGTGTCCCAGGATTTTTTTCCGGGAGAGAGAGGGGAGCAAAAAATTTTTTTCAAATGAAAATGCTTGGTGTGAATCACGCACTCTGAATTTTTGGGATGTTTCTCAAAATTTTGAGAACCCATAACTTTTCAAAGATTTTGAAATTTATTTTGATTATTTACAAGAGTAAACAAGTTAATTGCACGTTCACTCATGAAAGTAAATTTCAAAAATTTCGCGACCCATTTGATTGACTTCGACTTCCAAACTGCGCAGACAGGTAATGTATTTCTACACCCAAGTCTGCAGCTTAGTAGATTATAATCACATAAAGCTTTAAAGCTCAGAAAATCGCGTAGTGTTATCAGCATGCGTGAAAACACTACTACCAGCTTTTCAGGTTTTCTGAAAAAATTTTTTCCCTACGACCTTTACCACAAGCATTTAATGCAATCCCCTACCGCCTACATGATGAAGAGCAACCGTGCGTGATTTGCTTCATGCGAAATTTTCTTTTGCAGACTTCATTCATAAATCTAATACCAAGGTTCTGGCAAAAGATTCTGTGGAAAGACAATTTTCAAAAATCAAGCATTGAGTACATATTTTTGGACACCCTGTATCTGCTTGACACACATCTTCTCACTCACACTCATCAGATCATCTTCAAAAAGTAGCTGCATAGTGTAGAGCCGTTTTTCGCACGCTTCATCTCAAAGCAGTTTTCAGTGAAAACGTAGAAGAATTTTGCTCTAAATGACTCGTTTTCAGTCAAATTTAAACCTTCATTTGATCGGTTTGCTTTGAAGTACAAATACAGGATGATCACTCTAGGGTGTGCAGATTGGCAAAAATTTCTCGAGGGCAGTATTCTCCTGTATAGCTGAAAAAGTCTGAAAAATTGAGGCAAAAAAGATGTATAGGAGATTTTGACGAGTCTCGAAAACGGTCATTGAATTTATGGTTACATGTTAAGCTTTCCGAAGTACCCCTCTCCATGCGCGCATTCGATGCTAAAATAAGTGCAAGTAGGTGGCTCCGCGAAAAGGTGGAGTTTTCTAAGCAGATCACGTAGACTCTCTTTTTCGCAATCCACTGATAGATTTATTGGGGGGGGGGGGGGGCTGCCATCGCAATGGTGTAAAAATCCCAGCACTCATTTTTCTGAGGGGACGCTGCCGTTGTAACTGATTGCTTTTACAGCATACACAACCACCACTACTTCTACAACAACAACGACAACAACAACAACAAGTACTACTACTACCACTACCACCACCACCCCCACCACCACCTCCACTACCACCACCACCGCCACCACCACCTCCACTACCACCACCACTCCCACCACCAGCACCACTACCACCACTCCCACCACTACCACATCGACAACAACATCTACGTCTACCAGTACAACTACTATATCACCAACTACCACGACCACGACGACTACAACCGTACCACCAACGACTACTACGACCACTACTACTCCAAGCGCGACAACCTTACTTTCAACTACGAATTCTACGACCACTACAATTGTGACGACTACTGGACTGACCTCGCCTGCACCGTCATCTGAACCCCCGCAAATCGTTTCAGGTATCTTTAGCACTTTCCTTGTGTATGTCTGAACATCTCCACGCAGAAAGGAACAATGTGTTTTGGTGTCCTTTCACAGCTTGCTTTGACAAATTGATCGTTGTCCTTCCTGCGAGGAAATGTGCAGACCTTAATGGAATAATTATGAAATTATTTGGCCATACCAGTTTCAGTGCCACCTCAATCAAGTATGCGAGCATCCAGAAATTTTGAAGTGTAGGTTACTCTTGGCAAGCATACTTTCTTGTGTTCTCGTTTTAGCATGACAATTATCTTGATAATCTTGCTTGTCGTTGTGATGTTGGTCGCGATCATTATCATATATATGAGATTTTCAAAGAGAAAAAAGCCACTTGCGGCAAACGAAATGCCGATTTATTTATCTCCACTGAAAAATGAGTCAACTCAGAGCAAAGAAAGCTCTACTACACTTTATAGCAAGGAAAGCTCTACTACCAAGTCATCAGAAGGTAACTTCACTTATCGACTATGAAATCTAGCAAACAGCTTTCTATTAATCCTAACTTCAGCTATAAAGAAACAGACTCCAAAGGCTGTCAAAGTGGACATAAAACAAGCTTAATCTGCTTATCGTGAAACTTTTCATTGAATGCTGTAAAAAAGCTTAATGTTCAATAAATAATTAGCGAAAACCAGGAGATATTTGAATAATTTTTTCTCCACCGTAATCCTTTCTAAAAAAGTTGTATTGTTCTTTTATCAGGGCCGATTACAAATCAAGGTGATGACTAGCTCAACTTGAGAATGCAAAGGGCCAGTCTATCATCTTATTGTGAGGATGTCAAAAGTGGTGTACAAAAGTGGATAATGTAGGATAATGCTCAAGTCTTTCTCTTCAACAACAACGCTCCTGTAATACTATAATTCTTGAGGTTTCGTCGTATATTCCGCAGTTATGTTGGTACCCATATATCTTTTACCAAAAAAATATTCAGCAAGTACTACTTACGCGGATGATTCCAAACTTCCCTACGAAAAAGCGTTGGTTGTAATTAGCGGTGAAACAAATAAGTTGTTCATTTTTCTGACAAGTAGTCAAACTTTTACAGAGGACATCTATTTTCCCATCTCTTTAGTATATTTACATTTACATTTTTTTTGCATTTACATTTTACATCAGTACATTTCAGCACATAGTGTTTCCAGATCTACCACAACCTTTCTAAGGTTTTCTTCTATAGAAGATTCACTACGAAATTTCTTTCGAGAATTATTTCATATCATTTGAAAGCGAAAGTTGAGGTTTACACAATTTTTTGAAATCAGTTAGATGGGACTCAGTCTTTACCTACTAAAAATCTTCCTTTTTTAACTATTTACGTTCTCAATCATTTCGAAGTAAGTTTAATTACATGAACCTACCATTTTGAAAAGGAATAAACCGCTGGTACACCTTACCAAGATTACGGAAACATGGGACCTTCGCGTACAGTATAGATTTTGCGTTTCCAATGCAAATATTCACCATGAAATGTTTGTAAGGGTTTTCAGATATGTCATAAAGAATTATAAGATGTGTGTGTGTGCGTGTGCGTTTAGGGGGGGGGGGAGGGGGAGTGGCAGTTGGCATGATTCGACATCTCATTTATAGTTCAGATCGTATCTGAATTCAACACATCCTTCATGATGCTAATCTCTTTGCCCTCCTACTCCTCTTGTACTGTCCAATGGGTTTGTTCGTTGTGACAAATTCACCATGCATGTGAGTTTAGTCTCACTTAAACTTTTGAAAGTTGTCGCATTTCTGGGCATTCCCGGCTGCACCATAGTACTCGCATTTTTTCAAAAAACGAAGAGCAGTCGCTCGATTCATGTCAACGTAGCGTGGCCATATATCGCTTCAGAGTTGACGATTTTTTGATCTGACAATAAGACAACGATTCGACTCAGCTCGACGCGCATCTTCTTATGTACAGAAGTGCCCGAATCGACGAAATCATTCCAGATTCTTGCTTATGGTTGGCTATTCTGTGCTTATGGGCAACCTGCCGTAAGCAAAATTTGTAACGATTCGTGTAAACTGGGCTCCTACTGTGTCCAAACACTGTCCACTTCTATAAATCATAAGATGCGCCACGGCGAGCTGAGTCGAATGATGCCCTTGGAATTAAAATTTGTCCACTCTAAAGCGAGCTATGGCTATATGGCTAGGCTACGGTGATGTCACAAGTATCGGGCGACTGCGCGTCGCATTCAAATAAATTTGAGCGATATTGTACTTATTTGCATTGAGTAGCTTAGCCTCTCATAGAGGATATGTAGACGTCATAGCATTGTCAATTGCAGAATTATTTGATGTGTAATGCTAGCCTATGGATTAATGACATTTTCCTCGACGCGGTTCATCAGTAAGCAAATGCTAAAAAGGACATTTTCAATACACATGGAAGCCATATACAACGCAACAGATCTGCAGTATATATGCTTGTTAAAATGACCCAGAAAAGTAGTACGTTATATCTCTTGTAATAATTTAGTTCAAAGACATTATTTTTATACGAAGACTACCCAAACGGGACTACACTTGTAAAAATTTAGCAAGGTGTTTCTCTTACTAATCATTGAAAAATTAGTTGTGGGTCTTCCCGTAGAAACTGGCTGTTTGGGAAAGTTTAGAGCAGGACAATTTCAGAAATTCTTTGGAGGTTGTGTACCATTTTTCGTACATGTAACCTTCGTTTTCTAAGCTCTAGCGAAGATTTTCAAGCATAAAAACAAAATCGAGAAATAGTGACACTTTACTAATCTATTCGAGCATTGATTCAATACTTCCATAAATGGATTGTATACTGGTATGTCCTATCGAAAGAAACCCGTATCGGTAGACGCATTCGCCTCCAACCTTAGCCACTACCTATGAAGTTATTCAGTCAATGTCACTGATGAGCTAGTGCCCAAATTCAATCCACTTTTAACAAATACCATTATCAAAACATTCTTCTCAATTGTTCTTTTAAATTGCTATTTTCGATCTGTAGCTCAAATTTTCGAAGTTAGCTGCCTGAGTCATCAAATCACATCCTTGTAAATTAGATGGCGTTTGCGATGCACAAGGGAAAAATATGGAAGATCAGAGGCAGCAGTGGAGAGTGGAAAACGGAGGAGAGGTCAAAAAGTTGGTTAAGTAATGTGGCCAAGTTATGAGCTGCTCAAAGGCAGTGGTTTGGGATATTTACCACTCGAGTTTTCCTTGATTACATGGTCTTCTGGGCCCGCCGAGTCTAGGACTGAGCTTGGAAAATTGAAAAAGTGCTTTTTTGGCGTTTTTCGGTCAAGAGATTTACTCCAAAAACGATTGAGTGGCTGCGGGAGACTATAATTCCAGTCATTTTGAAGGCAATAGGCTGATTGGCTCAGGCAGCCAATTACGATGGCGGGAGTGCTTTTTTAGCCCCTGCAGCAATCTACAATATTAATCTAGTCATAAACATTATGCCAAATAATTTCGAAACACACTCCGGATTATAAACAGGTGTTCCGCATTTACACAACACACGTACTTTCCATATGATAAGGCTCAAAGGCTACTGCAGGACAAGGTGCACAAGCAAATTACTTGAGCGGCGCGAAAGTGGCGCGCGCGTATCTTCAACTTGTAACAGGGCTCGGCACGAGGTGGCTAGTTGAGAATGCAAAAAATGAAGTCCCCCTTGACTTTTGGGAATTTTTACGAAGTCCCCTTTGACCCCAGACCAAAATCCCTAAAAATCCTCCAAAAAACGAAACCTCGACAAAAAAGTCGCAAATTTTGTTTATTTTCGGCCCCAAAAACGAAATCCCCTTTGCTTTTCGTCCCAAAAACGATATCCACCTTGCTTGTAAGCCACCTGTGCCGAGCCCTGACTTGTAACCCTGCGCCTCGTGCGCTTTGCGGCCGATAAAGCCGCGATCGCGCCCAAAGGTATTGCGCCTTCGTCATGCCGTAGCCTGTACTTACCATTTGGATGTAACAAGCAGAATAACAAAAAAGAAAAAGTGTGGTATTTACCTGCATGAAGAAACGATACTACACCAAATGAAAAGTCTATGAATTCGAAAGAAAATAAGTATTTATTACCTTTTAAACAACTACAGTACACAATGAATCAACTACGACACTGCCTGATGATACAGTATCCTACTATAACAACGCGCTAAGAGTGTTTACGTTTTTTTGTGTCTGTCTGTCTGAATATCTGTCTGTCACAAAATTCATACAGCGTGTTTCAGCCAATGTGCTGAGCTTAATTTCTGCATAGCATTTGCTACCGGCATGAGTCCAACATGCAAAGGCACAAGCAGATTCGTTGAGCGGGTTTCTTACGAGGGAAGGATACTTGGTCGAAGTGGCGTTTCCATAGAAAATGTATACTGTCTTATAGAGCATGGAATGTTAATTCCCTGTCTGCTTTCGATGTCTGCAAAGCGCTTCTGAGAGGGGAGTTATGGATATTTTTGACGCAAAAAGTTCGAGACGCAGCTACAACAAAATCTTTCAGAACCTAGTCTGTGAGCTTGGAGGGGATCATGATTACTGCCCTGGCGCTTTTTGTAGTTAATACCTTCATTGTAATAATTTTGTTCTAGTTGTTACTACATTCAAGCACCGGAAAGACCTCAACACTCGTTTCTTACCATAGCCAAAACCTTGAATTTCTGCCTCAAAAAACTTTCGTAACTTCCGTCCCAAAAGCGCTTTGCAGTTACCAAAAACAGATCAGAAATCAGCGTCCCATGCTCTATAAGACAATACACGTTCCCCATGGAAACGCCACTTCGACCAAGTATCCTTCCCTTGTTAGAAACTGCACGTCAAACGGATTCACTTTGCATTTGGCCCACAAAATTTGATCCGTAATTCCACTTTTGCAGAATGGTGGATGTTTATGGCAAGTAAATGTGCATGCCATGAACTTAGGCCGTAAAATTGACCAAAGGCCATTACTTTACAAAAACGGCGCCAAAAATTACTGGGCGTAAACGGTCAATTTGTCAAAGTTTTACCAGAGCATTTGACGAGATTTTTGTACAGAAATGTAAAGGCTGCTGCATGACGAAGGCGCAATATCGTCGGGAGCGAACGCGGCTTTTTTAGCCACAGAGCGCATGAGGCGAGGATTTACCACGGTGAGGATACACGCGCGTCGCGTTCGCGCCTCAAATGATAATGCTTCTGCGCCTTCGTCATGCAGTAGCCTTTAGCTTACGGTAACTACTTTTTATGGCAACTGTCAAGCCCGTGGGAAAATCTAAAACCTATAAAAATTTGCGTTCGTTCTTCTGCAAAAATTTTCATCCACGCGAAATGACCGATTTCACACGGCAAAGTTTGAGTTGTTGCTTACGTTTTGTTCGTGACTGGCGTTGCCTGGGTGGGTTTCAATGTCATCATTATGCGAGAATAAGTTGGGCCTAGATAGTAGAGCCAGTGCGAACCTCTGCGAAGCAGAGGTGAAGCATAATTTGTAAAACATAATTTGGCTTCTAAACCTACATTATTAGTAATTATTAGTATATAACAGAAAAACTTGTATAAAAGTACTTTGATTCAATTTATAGAGCATTATAACAATCCATCGTAGCAACAAAAATACTATTGAAGCTCAAAAGCAAAAATATACATTATAAAATCTTCAAAGTATATTTGAAGCGCTGTGGATAAGGCCACTGCTATTTGCTAAGTTCATTCCATGAAATCAGCCTGTCCAAAACCCAGGAGGACCTTTAGAAACTTACTTCAAGAGGGACCGGACAGCCCTCATGCAGTCGGTAGTAACGACATCCTCCTTAAGATTCGAAGTTCTGGATTTGGAAAGAGCAAGCAATGCACAGCAAATTGAAAACCTTAACGCACATTTTGCTCATCTTCGGCTAGTGAGTGTCAAAAGCTAAAATTACAGTTCGCTTTATAATTCACATATATAATCATTACTTATAATAACGGGCTAAGGATGTTTACGTGACTGTGTGTGTGTGTGTGTCTGTGAGTGTGTCTGTTATGAAATTCGTAGAGCATGTTCCAGCCAACCTCCTGGGCTCCAATTTTGCACAGCGCATGGTACCCGCATGAAAGTCCAACATGCAAAAACACGAGCAGATTTGTCGAGTGAATCCCTTAGGAACTGCGCCTTAAACAGAACCACTTTGCATTTGGGCCGCAAAATTGGGTCCGTAACTCCACTTTTTGCAGAGTCGTGGATGTTTATGCCAAGTAGATGTGCAAGCCATGAACTTAGGCGCAAAAAAGTGATCAAAAGTCCATTATTTTACAAAAACGGCGCCAAATGTATTGGTTGCGTAAATGGCCAATTTGCCAAGGTTGTATCAGAGCATTTGACGAGATTTTTGCACAAAGATGTAGCTCACAATGACTGCTGTTCTTATTACAATGTCAAGACTATGGGAAAATCAAAAACTTATAAAAATTTGCGTTTGTTTTCGGGCAAAAAGTCTCATCCACGCGAAGTCACCGATTCAACAAAAAACAGTTTCATGAATGAGTAGCTATTTACACTTTGTTCGTGATAACCTGCATGCTCGGTGAGTTCCAATGCCATCATTATGCGAGAATGAGTAGGGCCTAGATAGTAGAGCCAGTGCGAGCCTCTGCGAAGCAGAGGTGACGCACTGGTATCATATAAACCTGCTGTGTGAATTTTTTGTGTATTCCTGCCTGGAGCCATATAGTTCAAAGTGTTGCAAAATCAGTGCGTCCAGAATAAAAAATTGTAACCCAGTTAGAAGGAGAATAAAACCTTTGAATGTTTTACAGTGGCCTCGAGTGAATTTTAAATTTTTCGGGATACTTTTGAGATGCAATACGCATTTTTTCACATTTCAGAAAATTGTTGAGCGTATATCTACCAAGAAACAAATTTTTGTAGCGGTTCAAGTCAATGTCGTGCCTCTCTGAATAAACTTCGCAGAAAATCATCGTTACTATTTTACCTTTCATTTCGAGGCTGCATGTTTTCCTAGAAATTTATACTGCTTTCCTACTGAGCGATATTGTCGAACTAGTTCCGAAGAGTGATAAAACCTTTTTTATTATTTACGTTGTTTCCAAGTCAAAATTTTTCGACATTTTTGCGCAGTTTTATATCCACACTCGTAATCGTTGTGTTTCCCATAAGCAATTCTTCGAAAATTATGAAGGGAAGTTACTAATGTAAGTTATCAATTATCACCTGCGTGTCAAGGGCCATCATTTCAAAACACATTTGTGAGCTGAAAATATAGTTTTCACCGAATTTGAGGCTATTCTGCTTCCACAAGCTTTAACATAGCCTTTGACAATTATTTTTATTCAATTGATGGTAGTTTTTATCTGAGGTCAGTTTCCAATTTTCTCACTTTTACACTCTTTTTGCATTTTAAGGCAGATATCGAAAGATACTGAATAAGATTTAGTAAATGATATAAGTTTCCGTTCTAACGCAATCAAGCTTGGAAAATGTGGCCCCATTTTCGATGCTCAGAAGTAAGAGCTCCCATAGAAACACTTTCACATCATCCGTAAATGTCTGGAAATTAGGGAAAATCTGATCTTCTTGTTTTTGCCAAAATTATGCTACGCCGTTCTCATAAAGACGGTTTTTATAGTATCCTTACAGGTACATTTGTATTTTCAACCTTTCACAATTCTAGTCTTTGACAGGGATCGTATTCAGCTTGAATTTTCGAAAGAGGCGACTTTTCGCATTTTCGCCTATTTTGACCCATTTGTGTTTCAAACACAGCGGTTGTACATACTGGATGTCGCAAAAGTAAGTACACACTTTTAAATCGTTAATAACTTTCTTTCCACAAAGCCTTTTGCTTACCTCCAAATGCCGCTCTGCGGAGCAGCTTCAACTTACAATTAGATTTACGGTATCGACTAAATCAGCCATCTTTCTTCATTACTGTGAAAAATACGGTAGGAACTTCTGGAAAGGGTTTTACGCCACCAATACCTGCATTTTGCCCCAGAATGATAATCGGCGAGCTGAAGACTTCATCAATAGGCTAAAATGAGTCGCTAATTATGAGAGATTCGCACTTTATCGTAAATCACTTTATCGTATCGTAAGAATTTTTTCAGAAGTTACGCTAGGGAAACCACAATAATGTTTGTTCGCTTTTCAAAAATGTGATTAAATTGTTTGAAGCGCTTCAGTGACTCGTGAAAGATTGTCTAACGAAATCAGTCTGTCCGAAAACACTGACATATGTATGGCTTTCCAAATTTTTTAGAACTTTTTTCGAAACGCCTATTTCGCAATGGCACTGTACGGTGGAAGTCCCTACAGTAATCCTACACTAATAAAAAGCGTAGTTAGTTGATTCGCATCATGTGTGAATCTAGGTTGAAGCCTGCTGTACCGATTAATACTCAGAATTGATTAACTTTGAGAGTTATCAAAGGCACCGTCCATTCAGATTTCCGACTTCCACGGTTTTGTCGTTGGGGATTCTCATGTCTCTGATTCCGAATATAAAGTCGAGAATGCGCGAAAACATCGACAATCCCCGTTCCGGAGACCCACAGGTCGGCTTCCCGGAACGGTGATTGGATGGGCGCGCACAAATGGGCGGGCATGGATGGGGGAGGGTGGGCATGGAGTTCCTTGTGCATTGCCATTCCGAAGTGATTTTCTCGCTTCCGAAGCTGCATTTCGCGCCTCGACGTGGGCATTGGAATGATAGGTATCATTATATGCTGCCGAAAGCTTAACACCCTCAACTTAGTATGGACGGTGCCTTTAAGGATTGAAAAGTGCGTATTTACTTTTGGGACACCCTGTATTTGGATTTGGAAACTATATCACTAAGCGTCCCTGAAGCACTTTTGAACAATTACTCTTTCTCGATTATCAAAACATTTGGGCTTTTACAGATTTTAGCTTCTCTATGTGAAACAGACTTTGTGCGAACGTTTTGTACCTTATAGAGCTTGCCTGGTTATAGCCAGGCATATATAACGTGGAGTACCGCGAAAATTTTGGAGAAAGCAAGAAGATTGTGAGTTATCAAAAAGAGAATGAAAACTGTACAAGATTTACGAGACAATTTACACCGTTTATATTCTCAGACAAATCACCGGAACTTCCGCAGGACAAGCCAAGTTTGCAGAAGTTCCGCAGGACTTTGTTAACTATTGCAAAATTGAAAACGTTGGGAATTGGAACTTCCGTGGAATTTTCATGCCAAACTTGTTGAAAACCGGAACTTCCGCAGGACCTTCTTCAAAATCCTGCGGAAATTCCAAAAAATGCCAGAGTTTCCGCAGCACTTTGGCCTGCCAGAACTTCCGCAGGACTTTGACTGTGTTGTCTCGTATGATGTTGCCTCGCCAACAACTAGAGTGCATTATCCAACATGTCATTCATAGTGCAGAGGATAGTAGGTGGGTCTCACAGTCAATAGAGTAAGGTTCAAATCTCACTTAGGTGTTCTCTTTTGCTGTTGTGGTTAGCATTCTTCGGAACTTCCGCAGGACCTCATTTCGGAACTTCCGCAGCACATTTACGGAACTCCGCAGGTGACCCGGCGGAACTTCCGCTTGCGCTCTGCGGAAGTTCCGAAAGTTTGTCTGAGTTAGGTTGTTCGGAAAATAATGTCGCTTTGCATCCCATCGCGACAGGGTGGTCACGAAAATAGTGAGTGGGGTATATTTCGACAGAGCAAAGCAAGCTCTGCAAAATAGCTATCAAACATTTCAACAAACTTTGCTACACGAAGTTTGAAGCGAAAATATTAGGAATTTGAATTACGCCAAAAATTAAAACTCAGTTGATGGAATTTCTAAAGATTTCAGATTTTCTCAACAACCCAATATTTTGGACAGTTTTGGACAACAAATATTTTGAACATCATTTAAATACTTTTGAAGCTAATTTTGGCAATCTAATATTTCTGAAGAAACTTCAGAAGATGGTGTAGAATTTTGCCTTGTCGCACAGGATTTTGGCTCTAAAGGAGCTCATATTATTATGAATAGTCACCCTCCAAACAAAGCGGCGCAAGAAGTTTGAAGTGTATAATCGCTGCTCAAGATTTGTTTTGTTCTCATTAGGCCCCGGGCAGACTTCACGCGATTTGATCGTCGCGACTGAATCGCGACGAGACAACTGTTACAATATCATTCCATGCCGATCAACTTGCATTCGGTTGTGATACTTTTCCAGACCGAAATTTCTGAATGTGAAATGAAAATGAATGAAAATGAATGGAAATCTTGGCGATTAGATCGCGACGATCAAGTCGCGTGAAGTCTGACCGGGGCCTTACACCACATGATGAGAAAAAGCATCGACTGCTCTGTCCTAGCGCGTTGTTTCAAATGTTTTAAATGATAAAGCTAGTGGTAATGCAAATATCACAGACAGCTCAGAAGAGTACAGTTTTAATCATTATTCTTTGAGCATCATGGAGAGCACCATGTTTTGTGTGCTGTTTCTTGACGCTGTATTTCATGTCAAAATATCGGTGTGGTCCACCGATGTATGGTCCGACGACGAGGTGAGTTTGCATACTTTTTGACGGGATCATTATTTGTACATACAGAATTGTAGAAGAGTAAGGTGTAGACGAGTCGTGCGCAAAGACATTAGAGCTCAAGTTTTGGAGATGGCTTACGGTAGGAGGTAGGAGGGATGAAACTGCGCTTGATCACGGAGACCTATTATAAAGATACAGGGAAAGAGATAGATGCGAAGTTGCCTTTAGGGTACCTATAGTCTTGGCCTCACCTCAGTTTTTGCTTATTATATCTTACATCTGTGATCAGCTTCAATCAAAGTAGATGACGCAGAATGGCTGACTCACAAACATTGTAAGCCATTATGTAGTGGTTGATTTTTTGCTAGGATCTCATTATGTTATAGAAGTAAGTTAGTGTCCAACTGACTTAGACTGGTTAACTGTTGTATCGGATCTTTCATCATTTAGTAATGCTTTCACTTTTAATCTTTGTGTTTACTCATTGATTTACTTGCACCTTGAATTATTGGCGCACTACGTGCAATGATAATTAAATAAATAAAATAAATATCGACTTTCACAATGGCGCACTTTTCGCATGCGACCAGTCTACATATGCTATTTTTCCGTCGTATTTTCATCGATAGATCTGAAAGCTGCACTTTGATGAACTCTTAGAAGTCCTGCATCTGCGGTCTGTAGCGTTATAAGGTCTCAGCTGTCCATTTCCAAGTAATGTCCGAATTCCATTCAAGAACACGCAGATCTGAATACATCTCTTCCGGCGCGGCCATGAATTGCAACTGCTCCGTTCAGTGACCGTCTTTAATACGAATCAAATGGGTTCCAATTTTGGAATTTACGAGCGCACTACATCCTAATGCCAAGGCCAGAATGGGCATGGCGGAAGTCCTGTTGCGAGGGTTTTGCGCCACATCTACGGCCAGATGTTGTACTCTCTCTTCCTTCTCCTCTCTCTCTGAGTGCGCATATGCAGCGCAAACCCCAAAGGCTGGGGGGACGAGCGGCGTAGGATGAGGCGCCGCTATGACCAGATTGAACGCAGGTTCGATCCCCGCCCCTGGGCCAACCAAGCCCTTTACCCTCCGGGGCCGGTAAATTGGTACCACAGTAGTCTGGGAGGATAGAAGCATAAATTTGATTTGGTGAACGGCTGGCCCCCGCAAGTCACTGTAAGGTCCCGGGCAGACTCCACGCGATTTGATCGTCGCGACTGAGTCGCGACGAAACAACTGTTACAACATCATTTCATGCCGATCAACTTGCATTCGGTTGTGATACTTTTCCAGCCCGACATTTTTGAATGTGAAATGAAAATGAATGGAAATCTCGGCGATTAGTTCGCAACGACTAAGTCGCGTGAAGTCTGACCGGGGCCTAACAGGCTCGCACGCGTACAATTTCCTCTTCGACTATGAAGTAATGCGCGTTCGGCGCATGCCCGCAGAGAGAATTGAAAACGCCGAATCCTTTATCCTTCATCCTTTATACCCCAAGGCTTCGGACAGAATTTACGCGAGTTCATCGCCTCACGATTATCCAATAAACAACAGCTATGAGTATATTGCATGCTAAACAACTTGTAACCTCGATTGTGATAGCTTTCCGACACGATCGTAACTAGCTATCGCAACCGAAGTGCAACTGCTCAGACACTGGGAGCGGACGAGCCGCGGCTTTCATTTTATACACCGGGCCACTTGCGGCTGATTTTTTGCAGCTCCCGCGGGCCGGCCGAAGATATCACCGTAGTAAGATGGAGGGCCTCGGGTCAGCCTCTTTGATGAATCCCGCCCGCCTCCTTAGTGCAATTACGCTAGAATACATCCGAGCAATTCGCGGCCCTTAACTCATGCAGCGGTCAACCCTAGGCCCTCAATTTACTGCAGCGGTCCAGCCTCGGGCTGGCCCGCGGACCTCACGAAAATCCAGCGGCAACGGGCACTTCAGGACGCGGCTCGTCCGCATTAAAGGCAGTGGGTCAGCAGAATGGACCTCTGTGAGATTTTGGTAGTGTTAGGTAGTAGACCCCCCCCCGAATGCATCGTAGCCCCAACCCCACCTCCAAATTAAGCGCTTAGTCCTGAAAAAGCGCTTCAAAACTCCTCTAATGATGCCCACTTAGTGGAAGTAGGCGGGGCTGGTGGGGTTTGAATCCCCATTACAGGACTTAAAGTACAAAATGGAGGATGGTGGGGCTACGGCGTTTTTCGGGGGTCTACTATCTAACACTACCAAAATCTAACAGAGGTCCATTCTGCTAACCCACTTTCTTTAAGTGTAGGGGTTGACTGGCATGCAGTGGACCCGCAACAACTGTCTTGTGGGAAAAACGCGTAAGCTCTGCCCGAGGCCCAAGGGTGAGAATGCGCAAACGCCAACGGTTTGGCTTGATTTCGACTGGGACAGACTGTTCGACCTTGCACACCGATGACTATACGTATAGTCCGGATTTACTGAGATCGCTGAAGAATATTGCCACTGGTTACCTTCAGTTCCCATGCATGGCGCGAAACAATTTTTGCAGTTCGACTTGATTTTGAGAGTTCCGCGACTCGTAGAAATTAGTATGTTCTCTGCCCGTAAAACCTGGGCATTGTAGTAGTACTATCTTCTATGATGTTTTGCTACACAGGTTTGTTATAAGTCTTATTTATTCAGCCTGACGTTCCGGCAACAATGCTTTCCTCAAAGGCCTGAAAGATGGTCTCGATCGTAATTGCCGCTTTATACGACGCTTCCCTCCACTTGTTTCATTCAATTCCTTTTGAGTGGACGGTGCTGAGTCTTAATGCTACAGCAACTCACCAATGTCAACAACGCCGCTCACTACGATTGACCCGTATGAAAAATGACTGAACTGTCTCATTGATAGACAGTTTAAGTAATCGTAGGTATCTTATAACTGACAGTACGATATGAAAGGGCGTAAGATCCTGGTGATAGAAAGCTGTTCACTCTTGCCGTTCATCTTTGGCTGACGCTAGAGAACGACGCTTTCAATGCTTTGCGAGCCGCAATCTTACTTTCATACGCCAAAATCGTGCACTTGCAAGGATCGTTACCGCCGTGATCTGCTCTATGTATCCCGAGTGGACTCATCGTACTCCCCCGTTTTTTACTGGCTAGATGTTCGTTAACGCGGATGCTGAATAAAGCCTCGTCTCCGATATATTTTGATCAATCGATCAAATACAATCGAGTTCGTAAACTACGTCAAACTTGGCACAATCCCTTACTTCTGCCATCAGGGCATTCAACGCATTTGTGTGATACAAGCCGTATCATACAGGGTGTCCCAGGAATATGTGTACACTGTTAGATTGTGAATAACTCTCTTGTAATGTAGTGTTTCGAGAAGCATTAGGTACCATTTTGTAGAGCGAGGTTCAACTTAGATTCATAGTGTAGTGTGAAACGCCGATCGCTCATTCTTACTGTAGGATTACCGTAGAAACTTCAAACATATGGTGTCATTGTGAAGAAAGCGGCCGTTTTAAAAAAATTTTAAAAAAATGTGGAAACTTGTGTAATATGGTTATGGTTTTCATGGACGCTGAGTCCAATACCAAACTCTCTACAAGGCTGCGATGCTTTCTAAACGGTGTAACCGCACTTTTTAGGGACATTGAAAAAATGGCCGTTATTGCTTACCTCGCATAATTTTTTGATGTAGCATTAAGAAAAATTGCGAACTTCACATTTAGAATCAGCAACTCTAATTAGCCCAGTATGAGAGTTTCAGCTTGTTTTGTTTACTTTCTGAGGCAAAATATAGCCTTTCATGGCTCAAAACCCTTTTCAAAGTTTCTACCGTAATCCTACAGTAAGAATGAGAGATCTGCGATTCGCTCAACACTGTGAATTTAAGTTGAACCTCGCTCTACAAAATGGTACCTAAAGCTTCTCGAAACACTTCATCACAAGAGAGTTATTTACAATGAAACAGTGTGCACATTTTTGAAACCCCCTCTCAGATAATCGCCGAGCACAGGCGTTCTGCAAACTCGCGCTTTTCTGCAAGCGGTCAGCAGAATAGCGGTACTTCCAGGTTTTGCCAACGGGCAGCAATACAAAATTTTCTGCAAGCGCTCGATAAATAATATTTTTCAGCAAACGCTGACCGAACTTCCAGCAGGCGCTCGGACTCTTTTTACGCAGTTTCGGGCTTACGTTGAGCACAGGTAAGACTCTGTGTGGCAGAGGGTCACCGTTGGTTTAATTACTCATGTTTGAGGTACTTTCTCTCAGCGGAAAGTACCTGGGGGCTGCGCGGTCCCCCACAAAGGACCGTGCGGTTCTCAAAAATTTTGCATATTCTCGCGGAAAGTCCGCAAGAATGGGCCACTGCGCCGCACCTAGTCTATAAGGAAACCGCGATTGTTTTCCAAACATTCGTCCGTCCTACGCTGAAATTCTTCCGAATATTTGCAAGCGGACCGCAAGATAATCAGCGAACTATTTTTTCGGTGCCCGTCCATAAATCGCATGGCCGCCTGCCTTCGGGGATTATTTGAGCTGTATAGACGATTACGTCCTAGCTGTTGCTTGATGCTGTTCGCTAGAATGCTTACGAGTACAACATCCTGGTAGCTGTGCTTGTATGAGACACTTTGAACTCGTTTGTGACCCTGTCAGAGATGAATGGTAAACTTAAGAAAATAGTGGCTTTAGTTTGAACCTGTTGTTTACCGGTGAATGTTCTCTTCGAAAGTCTGGATCTTGCTGAAAGTAGTAATGTTTTCTGCAACCTTTCTTGCAGGCTTGAGAGATCCTTGTTTTTCGTCCTCGCCACCGCAAACTCTGCGGCTGTTTTGAACATGTTGCGCACAACCGGCCTTTTGATCGCGACCGGATGGCCAGATTTGACGTGTAAAGTGATTTTTTGGAACGCTCCTTACGATACGGATTCACTCGGTTGCCATCTGATAACATCAGCTGCTCAGATAATCGTCGGGGACAAGCGGCCATGCGAATTTTGAGCAAGCGGGCACCGGAAAAATAGTTTACTGATTCTT